GTGAAACACGGCTGACCTTCGTGTAACACGATACTTCTACAGTGTGATTTGATTTTAACACGGTTAAAGTGTTGAAAGATAATTAAATGAATGTCGTGTATAGTGGTTACAATGAAAATCAGGTTTTTAAAATAAATCTTTTGTAACATAACCCCTCTTTTCTGTCATTAGTCCCGCGTAACCTCTAACTATCATGTTACACAAAGGTTATCTGTTCATCGGAACGCACACAGTTGCATGTGTCGTTTTAAAGATAAGGTAAAAGCGATTTTCCGTCGTGAAAGACGATTTAGAGGTCCGTTAAAAGACTCAGCCTAAAGGATAGAGAGGATTCCTTTTTCCTTGCGAGGGAATTGGTTCCATTAAAAGAAATTTCGTCCGGTGAAATATCGTGGTTTTCGCTTGATTTCGCTTGATTTCCAAGAGGTCGTTTTCACAGCGAAAAACACCAACGATTCTGTTCGACACGGTTCATTCGTTTCTTTTTCTGTGCCCATTCCTTTTTTCCTGTTTCTTCTTTTCCCCTTCCCCCCCCCCCCCCCTCCCTTTTTTTTTTTTTTTTTTTTTTTTTTTTACGTGGGGAAATCTATTACAAATTACGGGATCGAAAAACGCGATTCAACCACAGCGACCGCTAAAAATAGCGATACACGGATATTCGAAACTTCTCTGCGGAGAATTGTCTCGCGTTTTCTGTTGGACGCAGATAAATGGAATAATCGTCGCGGTAATGTGTATGTATCGGTAGTGTCCGTGAAGCTGCCGAGACGAACACTAGGGATAATTCTCTCATGGCCGTTCTGTCATGTTTAAAGCCTGGAAAAAGCCGGAGCACTTCCTATTAAAAAGTTCCACGAAAGACGACGATGACTACGGCAGCAGCGTGTTTCGTCGTTGTTATTATGATATATTTCGCACGAGGCAAATTTGACGCTCACCCATAAAAAGAAGGGAAAATCTGATAAAATTCAATTCCCCTCGAGGCTAAGCCGCTTTAAGCTGACGGTGCACGAGTTAGAAATTTAAGTGCAAAAGACAAGTTGCTGGAGATGATCTCGGCCGAGCGATAGTCGTCGCTCATTATAAAGCACTTTTCATTTTTTTTCTCGGTTGAAAAATCATTTCTAAGAAATCAAAATCTTTTCGAGAAAAATATTTATTTCTACAATAAGCTTACATTGGTGCAAGTTCTCTTATCGCTATAGAAGTTATTTATTTATTTGCAAATTAGAATCTGACTAGCGTGGTAGATTTCACAATGAAATGGCGGATTATGAGAAACACGTAAATCGAGAAAACGTGAATAGAAAATATTAAAAGCAAGTGAAATTTCAACGCGCGTAGACCTGCTGCAAAATCATATTACGAGATCGTATGTCCACCATGGTGCTCCATGGTTCACCTGCCGAGACACGAAGCGTTGTGGACAAGCGCGTATATGTATACATATGCATACGACGCCCATATATTGAGTATCTCATTTTACTGTATAAACAGATGTGCGTTAAAAATTAATTAACATTTCGAAATTTTTAATTTGAATCTGAAAATTTAGAAATATGAAATTCGAAATTTTATATTATTCCTAGAAATTGTGCTGTAAAAGCGAAAACATGGTATATGTTAATAATCTTCTGGCAAAAGGCATATTATTGTCATAGAATAGTCGATTAAATCGATTCCCCTGGAAAAAAAGCACGGACCACTTCTTCTCCCCTTTGAAATCCTTTTGTTCTGGACCTCTTTAATACGAGTGGCTCCTTTTGAACTGGGTTTGGGACTCTCGAACAGAAGCCTGCTAGTAAACTCTTAATTAATGACAAGCTTGTGCAGCTCCCTCAACATTGTCTTAGGGCCATCGTTACTATTCAATATTTCTTGCTGCTCGACTACTCTCCTAACCGATATTTTATTCTGTATAAAAGTCACAGGTTATTTATTCATTTGAGAATCCGCCCAGATCTTGTACAAACGATAACGTTCATCGAATAAAATATTCTCTTTCCTCCAATTTTAATTCACTACCATCTCATAAAGTGGACCACCCTATTTCAATTTATATCTCATTATTTTTAATAATTATTACGATAAGACAATCATGCCTCGTTAAACATTTCTTGTTATCCCGTCAATTATTACAGCGTTACGTAACAACTCCGCCTGTATTGTTTGACAGAAAGCTCATCATCTTCAATGGTGGGACAGAGAAGCCAACGGAGTAGGTTGCGGAATACTCTTACATTCCAAGAAGCTTCTTTGATTTTCTATTGTTCCGTGTTTCTAGCCGAGAAGTCTCTAGGTTTAAGAGAGGAAGTCAGTCGCACGGGTAAATTGTCACGGTGCGCGTCCACTACTACCACCTCCTTTAGATCTCTCAAGGGACTTCGGAATGAGGCTGTCTCACTGTTGTGTGCAGTCTTATGCGCACTGGACCGGTTTCTGTTCCACGATGCTGCACTCGGTTCGACTGAGTCTCTCTCTGGGTTCCCAGACTCGTTGAGAATATACAACGCATGTGCACTCTCTGTTACATTGTCCCGTAAATAAAGGGCGTCTCCGTAATCAACGTGCCGGTGGATTTTTCCTCGAAATGATCCCGCTCAGGCCACCCAACGATCAGCGCACCAGTCGACATTTCCCCAAACTAGTTTGATCACGGTGTATATGTATTTTTAGCTTCCACGAAATATACGCGCGTCTGACACTTTTTCTACCGCCTGTTTTGTTTTCCACATGCCCTGGTGCACCCCCTGTTTTATGGTGGTGACTCCTAGTACAAAGCTCTCACAAGTTTCTGCTTTCAGTTTATCGAATCGAGAAACTTACCTTTAACCTGTAACGATCTTTTTCTCTCTGTTCGTTTCCCCCTCCCGAAAAAACGTGTACATTTTGAACCTACGCTATATATAGTCCATTTTGAATGAGGAGCATAGAGTTGCACGGTATATAGGCTGGTGACGTCGATAACGGCTCGTGTACGTGTAAATCACCTTCAGAATGCAATCGTTCGTTCGTTGACTCTGCGCCGCTTCTGTAAGCAAAGCGTTTTCAGCCGAAACAGTTTCCCTCCATGGACCGCTCTTTTCTCGAGGCGAGAAAGCTTCGCTTCATATTGCGACACACTCGGCAAATTGAGAAACTACTAAGTTCCTTTAACGACCGTGCGATATTATGCGACACGCGTGCAAATGACACACGCGAGCGTATTATCGACCGAGTCGAGTAGTAGTAATAGGAAATGAAACTGAATATAGAAAATCACGCTGGCGTGCGCGTCGTCCTGTTCGTTTCCGCCTTGACCTTACGCACGTTTCTTTCTTGCCGCTCCTTAATGAGTTCGAAGCAGCTATTCAATTTATATTCCACGCGGGCTGCAGTGGGTAGGATCGAATTGTAACGGAACATGTAGCGCATTATGATTCTCCGTACGCGTTCCTTTTCTCTTACGCCTCTCTAGCATTAAACTGTGCAGGTAGAGAATTTTTCTTTTCTTTTTATTTTTCGAGTCGTCTAGCGCTCCGGAGAGTGCCTCTCTTTGACGCCGCGGAATGCAGCCGCGGATCGCAAAAGGCTTCGCGCTTCAAACGGAAACTCTGGCGAATGCGCGCGCCCGCTCTTTTCAGCGTTATTAAAGCGGCGAAACCAGGTTGGACGGAATATAACATTTTTTCTTAAACGGATTTATTTGCACGTGTATAATACAAGCTTGTGTTTTGTTTTTATAAGAGATAGAAATTTGTGGTCTTTTAATCTTCTGTCTATTATGGGCACATATATGTGTACCCAATGAAACGTCGCCAATGTAGGTTATGAACGCCTTTAAAACAGACAGGAACGTTTGATCTATTTTGTTTAATTTTGTACAATAAGGAAGTAAAAACGGTTAAACTGTTCTCATATAACTTAATATCTGGGATCAAATCTTGGATGTTTCAAACTACACAAGGAAGTTGCTGTTACGAGAGTTGTACATTCATCTTCGTCCAACTGTTGCTAATCCTACATTTCGACCGAGATATGCTGCCCGAGTTGTCAACTGTGCTGTGATCTGTATTTAGTACTTTGGACAGTGGCCACTTCCGGCCGGATGTTCGTAAGGCACTGCGCCACTCGAAGCTGACCATAGACCGTCGTTTGTGTTATATGTAAAGCATATCGATCGCGAACAAGCAAACCGTTGCAATGCAGTTATTATTTGCGCCGTTTGTGTTTTTTTATACATATTTGTTGATTCTTTCCAACGATACTTTGACACGCAAAAGATAAACGGGGTGGGGAAAAAGTAGATCGCGATCAGTGAACTTATATCACGTAAACGATTTTACAACGTGCATGGAAGGACGGAACGGTTTCCTCTAATTCGCGCTGTTGGATCAATGATCAGCCTGCTACTAACGTTAGCTCGAAACTGTAGCGGCCTAGAAACAATTGCATATAGGCCTCGGTGCGAACAAACGGCTGGAAATAAAATGGGGATTGAAACTGGATCAAACGTATTCTGATTTGATTAAAAAAAGCGTCGATGGTACGGTAGAACGAAAAAGTAGATCGATTATGACATTTACATGTCGATATATCGATACAGATCAAAGCTATAACATCGATCGATATTATTTTCCCGCGTGAACGACTGTTATTGGCGCGCATAGATATTTCTCGTCAGACTCTTGGCATAATACGTGAATGAACAGCAATACCAATAAAGCGTAGCAAGCCAGAGAGGATTATCCATACTGGTAGACCACTTTCTCATCCTCGGACCGGGAGGATATTCCAATACGAAATTGTCCATAGCTGCATTAAGCCGGAAATTCCGGATTCAACCGGTTTACCCGTACAATGTATCATGATTCTATCTAAAATCCTGACATTACTTTTCTAACCTATTTCGTATCGTTGTATGTCTCGGACATTTTTTTAATAATACACGTTGAATCAAATTTTAACAAACTAATTCAAGATGTTAGAATGATAATAATAATATATTGTTGAATTTTCAGATACAGGCGAAGCGTGAACTGTTCTTCAAAGGCGACAACACGGGAATAATATCGTCGCCGTCTGTGCCGTCAGTGCCGCCACCGCAACCTCCGTCACAGGCCCCGTCGTCGGTTAGCACGTCTTCGACGACGACCACGACGACCACGACCCTCGCCTCGCCCAACACAGCGCCTCAAACCTCCTCGACCGTGTATACAAGCGTCACGTCCTCAGCACCCAGCTCAAAGCCGCGATTACCTCCGTCCACGGTGATCCTGAATCAGAACGATGCGTCAGAGGATAGCAATAAACGGGAGTCGAGCAGGAGCAGCGAGAACAACAAGGAGACCGCTGTCCTGCATCATCCGCGACCGACGCCGCCAACCAAGCCCAAAGAACTTGACGGATACGTGGGCTTTGCGAATCTGCCCAACCAAGTCTATAGAAAGGCCGTTAAGAAGGGATTCGATTTTACCCTAATGGTCGTCGGTCAGTTCTAATGCTTTGAGTATTCGATTAACTTCAGGTCTGGCTAATCTAAATATTGTTTCACGTGTTTACTACTTGATGGAACTTCCAATTTTTCAGAGGTTGTGCAGCAAATAAAATTTATATTTAAAAAATAACAATAATAGATAGAAATGTGATTACTGAGTTATTGGTTAGTCAGGTCTGGATAAAAAACTTCTCGAATTTCTGTATATCACTCTGTCGGTTCTGTTCAGTTCAGGATCAATTAAACGTTTAATATTATTTGAGATAATAGAGAAAACATGCGATGAAATAGTTAAATGGTGAGAGGTTTACTCTCTGATGGCCTTGAGTTGTAATTGATTTTGGACAATCTATACTATGTGTACATATATATATATATATTTGGTTTCTATTTCCTCTTATATTAAAATGGCACTCTCGCGTATGGAGTATAATGGACAATCAACCGGTGGAAGTGATATTGCGTGAAATAATTAGAGAATGATCCATTCAAACACAATGGACAGAATTTCGATGGGTTCTCTTTTGTCTGTGTAATAGATAGGTGCAATTAACGTGATCTCTGTATATACGGGGGGAATTTGAAAAGAATGCGAGCATCAACAGGACGGATTGCGCACAAAAGTAATGACCGTTATCGCGAGGAGAAAAGAGAAGCTAGGTCGACACGGTGTATTCTATATATATTTAAAGTGAATTTATTTTCGCAAATGGGACGTGAAAAATGCATACTATGACTTTCTATGCCTTCGTTAATGTCCATTGTACAAATCGAGGGATACAGAGATCCGTTTCTCCGCTTGGTATTTCAATTTCATCGAGGATATTGCCTTATGAACCTCCCCATCTGCTTAACACGTGCAGAACGAACGCTCTTTCACCCAGCTAGATTAGGACTGTCTTCAAGTTGCCGCGGTTCTCATTTTCTCTTTTTCCATCGTTCGAAATTGAATTTTTTCACTTAACCTCGAATCTCAATGTTGTACATCAAACACACCTTGATAAAATGTATATCAACTTTTTTGTCGTTAGAATTTTCATAATGAATTTTTTATGAAACCGTGTAAATATTATTTCTCGCAAAGTTCCACGATATGCAGTTTAATTGCGCGAAAGTTATCGAGACAAACCGCGTCGTCTGGATGAAAGTTTGAAATTCGAGAATATAGGCGGAGTGCCGCTATTATTAGTACCGGTATAAACAGAGCCATTTCTCCCTAAATAGAGCAATTGAAACGCTTATCCTTGAGGGAGAGAAGGCGCGGCACTTTGGCCAGTTCAAGGTACGCGGACAGAAAGGTCAGGGTACCGTTTGGTATTTCGAACTGTCCCCGAAAAGAACATTAAACGAAACAAAACCATATTTCGTTATGTATTCAAATATTTTCTCACCAATTACTATTTCCAACGAATAATATTAACAATTTCATTTTATTTTATTCCTATCTTAATTTTCCTCTTTTCTTATGTATCTTTGCAGGTGAATCTGGACTGGGAAAATCAACTTTGATCAATTCAATGTTCCTCGCCGATATATACAGTGCCGAGTACCCAGGTCCTAGCCTTAGGGTTAAAAAAACCGTAGCCGTAGAGACTAGCAAAGTGTTATTAAAGGAGAACGGTGTAAATCTTACTCTAACTGTCGTCGATACTCCAGGATTCGGCGATGCAGTTGATAACAGCAATTGGTAATTTTATACATTCTGTCTTATTGGAAATTATAAATAAATAATACATTTTATTCAGAGAAATATTCTTTTTTTTTTTGCAGTTGGGTACCAGTAATTGAGTACATTGAATCAAAATATGAAGAGTTTCTGAACGCAGAATCTCGCGTAGTGAGACGACAGATTCCAGACAGTCGAGTGCACTGTTGTCTCTACTTCGTCGCACCCTCAGGCCACGGCTTGAAGCCGTTGGACGTTGAGTTCATGCAACGTCTCCACGACAAAGTTAACATCATACCTGTCATCGCGAAGGCGGATACTATGACGCCGGACGAATGTGCTCATTTCAAAAAACAGGTTTGTATTATGGTGAAACAGAATTGGGTAATTGCTCATCGACACACGAATAAAGTTGCTTCTTGATTGCTTTACATCGCCAGTTTATTATAGGTAGAAGTTGTCTCGTCGTGTCTGCAGTGGATGCTAAATTGAGATCAACTTTTTGTTTGCACTCAACTTTTTGTATTCCTTAAAAATCTTACGTAGGACGTATTTTGTCCCAATTTTTCAAAATATATGTAGATGTATACAGTACTCAAATGGAACATATGCATCTAACTGATCCCGTAAAAGGCGATCTGGTATGTCACTGACAGTTCGAGTACTCAAGTGGGACATATATTCCCCCTCTAGTCACGAAAGGGTTAAATTTTAGAGTTATAATTTATTGCCAGCGATATAACCGATAGGCAACTTGTTAAGTGAAGAGGAAACATACTTGGTTCACTTTTAATGTTAACAAATCTGTTATTGTTGTTGTTTAGATATTGAACGAGATAGCACAGCACAAAATAAAAATCTACGAGTTCCCGGAAGTGGAAGAGGAAGAGGAAAGTAAACTGCATAAAGTTCTCAGAGACAGAGTGCCGTTTGCGGTTGTGGGTGCAAACACGGTGGTCGAACATGATGGTAGAAAGGTCCGTGGTAGGAAATACCCTTGGGGAATCGCAGAAGGTGCGCAATTCTGGAAACTTTGAATTACTTAGTTTTCATATCAGTTTAATTTCTTGTGAAACTTCAGAGGAAATCATAGTCTGTTTTTTTCTTTTTCTGAATGTTTAGTGGAGAATCTAGAACATTGCGATTTCATAGCGCTCCGAAATATGGTGATCAGAACGCATTTACAAGATCTGAAAGATGTGACGAATAACGTGCATTATGAGAATTTCCGATGTCGCACATTAGCCGGTGTTGGAATTGACGGGAAACCAACGAAAGTCTCCAATAAGTAAGTGTGTTCTTGCAATAGATAAATGTACGAGCCGTGTACGGTTATTTGAAATGTAAAACCATTGGAGAAATGGTGTGTGAAATTTACTACATAATACATTTAGGAAATATTAGGGACAAGAAAATGTTACAGATCAACAACGATTCGATGATATTTAAAGATCCCATAAAATAAGATGATTACATCGAGTTCCTTTTTTTTAATTTTTTTTTCTTTTTTTTTTTTTTTAAAGGTAGCGCTCCGAAATATGGTGATCAGAACGCATTTACAAGATCTGAAAGATGTGACGAATAACGTGCATTATGAGAATTTCCGATGTCGCACATTAGCCGGTGTTGGAATTGACGGGAAACCAACGAAAGTCTCCAATAAGTAAGTGTGTTCTTGCAATAGATAAATGTACGAGCCGTGTACGGTTATTTGAAATGTAAAACCATTGGAGAAATGGTGTGTGAAATTTACTACATAATACATTTAGGAAATATTAGGGACAAGAAAATGTTACAGATCAACAACGATTCGATGATATTTAAAGATCCCATAAAATAAGATGATTACATCGAGTTCCTTTTTTTTAATTTTTTTTTCTTTTTTTTTTTTTTTTTTTTAAAGGTAAATACAAATGCTTGTAGTGTGTTGATTTCGTTTTTACTACGACAATATATAAAAAGCTTGTGCATGCAAACTATTGAAGAATAAAAATTACCTCTGTAAGTCAAATATGTTTAAATGAGATATTGTTAGCAAAGTTATTAAGATACATATGATAATTTAGGTTAAAGGCAGAAAAATGATCGGGAAAATACATTTTTTAATAGCATATTTCTTACGTGAATTTTAATGTTGATTTCTTATTGGTTAGTTTGTGCCCTCCAGGAGTGATGAACAGTTTCATGACAGTGTGGTAAGTCTTTTAATAAGGCCGGGATCGTGTAATATAGTTTTGTGTGCACAAGCCTTGTCCAGTTTCCATTTACTGCGTATTTAGTTCTCCGCGCATTTATTTAGTTAAAAGGGGGGTTCACTCTGTTGATGTACACATGTTTAAATTGAATAGGATAAAGAGGAATGATAATTGCATAGATCATCTTATTCAAGGAGATAATAATCACTGTCTTTCACCTGAGTCAATAATACAAATTTAACAAAGTGAACATCTGTATGGAAAATACTGGTAGTGAACCCTCTAATTGAACTTTCAGTTCATATATGTAGATTGCATTACATTTTTATTTTAGCAGACAACTATGTTGCTAGTTTTTTTTAGTATTATTGAGTATAACATGTAAATCTGCTTGGTTTTATTTTATTTCATTTTAGTTAGTCTCTATAAACATTTTCCTCTGATGTTAACCCATACATTGCAATACTATTTTTTTCATCCTTATTAAGCTCATATTTATTCTGAAAAGTTGCATTTTCATTTTGCAATTTCCCATACATGTAGATAGATCACAAAAAAAAAAAAAAAAAACGCAGTCTAAACAATTAGTAAAGAGAGATTTGTATGAAATATTTATCTCTGCGTAACGTAATTAAATTGAATATGAACAATCATTTCAAATGTGTCTTGTAGGAATCCTCTGGCTCAGTTGGAAGAGGAGAAGAGAGAACACGATAATAAAATGAAGAAGATGGAAATCGATATGGAGCAGGTGTTTGAAATGAAAGTCAGAGAGAAGAAACAAAAGCTCAAAGAGTCAGAAGCAGACGTGAGTATTGTTCAGTGCGTCTTCGCGTGTATACTTGAACATAGAAATCGTTTTAATCAGAAGGAAAATCTGTTCACAGGTACAAAGAAGGCACGAACAGATGCGACGCTCGTTGGAGCAGCAAGTACGCGAATTGGAAGAAAAGAGACGAGCGTTTGAGGCTGAAAAATTAGAATGGGAGAAACAGACTGGTCACAGTATTGAAGAATTGCGTAGGCGCAGTCTAGAAGCGAATTCAAAAGAGTAAGTATTGTTTAAATGTAAAAAGATCTGCTTTTGGTTGTTCATACTTTTTTATAATCGTTATATATTATACATCCTTTTTTATGTAAAGATATATTAAATACAAAAAACAAACTGCTTCTTGCACGAATGGAAAGGTATTTTGTAAATTAAAGGACATACATAACTTTATAGTTACTGTAATTAGGGAAATGGATATAATGCTTAAGAATAAACAATTTGCAAATACCTCGTTAGATATATTTTCGAATATTGCTTAAAATCTTCGCTTTAAAAGAATCATTCAGCTGAATATGTGCAATAAAAGCATTTACAACGAGCTTGTAGCATAACTGTATTTCATTATAATTCACTACTACTAATCTCAATTATGAATTACGATACTTCGCTTCCTAGTCGTTTCTTCTTACAAATGTTTCGAGTATTCAGACATTCTTTTAAAACTAGATCGGAGTTATGTAAAAACTCTTCCACATAGTTTATCCTAATAGCAGGAAATTACTAATAATTATTAATAAGCATGTTCAATGTAACTATCCTTCTGAACTTAATTGAAGTTAATTCAACAAGTAGTATTCATTTACTATTAATTTAAAGTGATTCACTGAATTCTCTGATAATTTTGTCTCGTTTCAAGGTGATGAGTTAACAAGCTTTTGTTGAAGTTAGCCGCTCGAGTAATCGCCCAAAATATTCTTACATTTAAATTTGTTTTAGGTTATTATACATCCTTAAAAAAAAAAAAAGAAAGAAAAGCTCGTATCGTTCTTACGTGTGTGTCATGTCTGCACCATGTTTACATCAAGTAGAAATATAAAGAGAAAAGAACAATACGTATCGTGAAAATGTTTACTTTTTTTTTTTTTGTTTCCCTTCGGAAAGCTTATCTGAAATTAGCAATAAATGTCTGATGCAATGTAACAACAGAAAGTATACATATATACATATATACATATATACTCGGTATTTATTTAAAAAAAGCTTTACGGACGAATGTTATGTGATGCTTGCGCTTGTTTGTTTGTTGTGTGTATACCATATCGGGGTGTCCCTTAATTTAGGACGGGATCAGTGTCTTCCGAGGGATCTGGCGGTGGCGGGGGTACATTGAGGGGTTCCCGAGGGATAGGAAGTCTCCTACGCCGTCACACCAGTTTCAAATCACCTCAAGACAGCCCTACACAGATACAGCTTGTCATACAACATCCCGAACATCCTTAGTAGATAGTAGAATCTGTCTACATTTATTTACAAAAAATAAAAGAATGCCTCTACGTCGTTGTGTTCGAGGACTAAACCACTCTTTCATTGATATTAACATCGATCTCATTTTTTTTTTCTTTTATACGTTCGATGCATTTTTCTATATTTTATCAATGGTTTAACGTATGTACGATACACCATGCGTATCCATAAATAAGGAGGAAGAAGAAAAGAACTGAAACTGAGATTATTTACACATCACAACCAGTTTTGTGTACTTTCTCTATTTTTTTTTTTTTCGATTGGTTTTGTTTTATAATTACAAGGGCATGTGTTAGTATTAGGAGCTACGCTACTTGAGGCGCTACTGTGAATGAAAGAAAAAAAGTATTAAGTAATTTCGGTTTCAATGTAAATGTACAGTAGTAGGTATCTTGATTACTTATATTTTCTTTCGTTTCGAATGTTTCAAGAGCAAAAATAATGTATATCCTTTAACATAAAAGCCAAGGTCGTAAAACAGTTCGGATATCGAAGTGGTTAATGATATTTTCGTTTATCACTGTTCAAAATGAATGCTTAACCGATTATCGGGGAATGGAGATACAGTTGAAAAATTTTGCACCACGCTGACTAATGTTTGATAATTAATGGCATTTAATTATTAAAGAGGACGAGAAACACGAAGCATAGACTTTATGTTGCGAATGAAGCTAAATTTTAGAATAAAAAGTTTAGGGGGAGAGATATCCATATCGAAGAAGAATCTCGATAGTAATCTTACGTTATTAGCCCTATAGATATATTTAGAAGGGGCATATTTTTGGCACAAAGTTTGATATAAACTTTATCTAAGAGATGCAAAAAAATCTTTATATTCCTATGGATGTCACTGTTTTATATTCACTGCAACGTGCGTTACACTCATATACATACATAACTATCTTGTATGAACTTAAACACATACATTCACACTTCGTAGAGTATTGTGGAAAGCTATTGTAAACTCTGAGCAAGCTGTCTAATATTTTTTTTTCTTGTTTTTTTTTCACATTGATACATTCCAACTCGCATGTCTTGACATTCCCTTTGTACATGAATTTAGCATATTTCTTTCCAGTGTGTGGTTCTTCAAAGTACTTTTGAAACGAATCAAGAGACAGCTTGATAAAGGGTAATACCATACGTAACCAATAATAATTACTCACAAACAATTATTATACATTGTTAATTTCATCATTAAATCTTTTTTCGCAAATAAACGTAATGCTTTCCTAAAACATTTACTAACCATATTTTCGCCGCCCTCATTTTTTTTTTTTTTTTAGTCTTACTGCGAATAAGCGATGTGAAATCACCGATAAATGTCGGAGAAACGATATCGTTTGCTTGCCTTTTTTAAATGTAGCTTTATAAGATGAAATGCAACACAAACGTCATTTTTCTCTGACATGTTTTTTAACATTCACGTTATTTTTTTGTATTATATGTTCGTACATTTATTTTTATAAGTATCTGTGGAAAGGAGCGTTTTCATATCTATAAAAAAATATATAAAATATCATATTTGTCGCGTGAAACATTTGATACGTACATTGCACTGCTTTAACAATTTATTAAATTTCATTAGTCAATAAGCTTTATTGCAGCAAATGACAACTTCAAGCATAAAAATTATATATATTTGACCAGAAAAATGTTATTCTTGAATTATATATATATATGTATATACAACAAATGTGCACTACATTAACACTCAGAAAACAAAAAATAAAATGATACATAACACTTGCAGACAGCATGTGGCTTAATGATCATGGCCCATGGAAGTGTACATTTCTCAAAGCATGATTTTGGCATGACTAGATTATAAATCTATTGCTGTATTCACACTATAATTATGGATGAATATACATATTGCTCTACATATCTTAAAACATATCAAAATTGAACTTTAAATTTCAACATTTAATTATGCTACTGTCTATCAAAAGCATATATCACTTCAATGAACATACAAATATTAAGTAACAACAGTATATCTATTTTGAGTAACCAGATAGTAGTGTATGGAAAGTCATCAATATTCTTTATTAAAAGGGTGAAAAAATCTAAGGCAATAAATAATTACAACTTATAATTCATTAACACTGTAAGTTTTGCTGCCATCTAATGATTGTAACAATTCTTTCCTTCTACTGACATTATAATTCTTTTCAGGGCTGTCGATGGTAAGGATAAGAAGAATAAGAAGAAAGGACTTTTCTAACTCGACACCAGAAAGGCAACATGAAGAGTGAGCTTTTTTTTAAAATAATTAACAACGATTTTTCTTAAAAACGATCATACGAAGAGCATGATCTCTTTAAGAGAAATTAAATGTAACTTGATAAGAAATATTTCTCTGATGAAATCTCCTGGACTAATCTACATCTAATATTTGCAAGAACTTAAGTTGAATAATCCCATAGAACATTAATGTACACAATATACTTCATGGGATACAACATACTTTACGATTTTCTATTATTTGAAGCAATATTGCTTGAAAGTCAACGGAGATAAAGTTCGGGAGATTCCTTAATGAATTAAAAGACAAAGAAGAGATATGTGTTGTTTAAATCATGCAGTTGATGTGTATACTGTGTATATCGCTCCACGTTTATATGACTTCCTCGTTTTGCAAGCATAAACGTATTATGCTTTCAGGAGTGAAAATGAAAAAGTGTTTCTTCTATCGTGTTCGCCTGTGCTTCTTTGCGCTTCCTATTATTAACATTCAAGAAACCATACCTAGCATAATTCGACATATGATATTGTACAAAATGTAGGCATAGTCTCGGAGGACGTCATTTTTTTTTTTTTTTAACAAGAATGATCAAAAGATGCTGAGAAAGAAAGTGTGAAAACTCATTAATTTGTCTCAATTTATCTTCGTTTTCTGTCATCCTATTTCTATTACCTTGTACCCTTACACGAATATCATCATAATTATGTGTCGACGTGCTTGTGTTGTTTTTGATATTTATATTGATATTCCGAATAACGATTGCGTTTAATATAAGTGTATAATATAAATATCAAGAAATAAGATGTTAAAGACAATTTGCAAAGATCCAAGTGAGACATGATATGGAATAACGATGATGATCGCTCTTGTAAAATTGGGTGTACAATATATAACCTGGTTAACAGATTCAATTGAAGTTGAATTCGAATACTGTTGCAGAACATCATTTTTTAGACAAGTCATATGAGAATCTTTCTACTAAAAAAAAAAAAAACAAAAGAAAACAAAAAAAATTGTATATTTACAAAATCGAGACGTGCGATACACCATCGACCTAATAACAGGCGAGGAAAAACCTCTGTGTCTAGAGATAGCAATAAATTCTATCGATGTTTCTAATTACGTTTAAAATGCGTGGGTAAATTAAATCGTTGAAAAAAACAAATAGCGCATTTATAATATAATTGTAAAAAGGATAATTCTTGTCCTACAATACAAATTGTATAAATTAATTGTTTTTTCACATCGATCGTATATGTTCCTTTCAGTATTCGCTTGTCGCAAGTAACAACGTGCTGCTTTACGATAAATAATCGAACACGAAGAAACATCAAACAGGAAAGAACAATACAAGAGTATCGCTCGTAAATTGGAATCTTTTCGTTGAGCTCAACTCCGCGATATCATTTTGCGACGGATGGTTGAATGTGATTTTAAATGAAGCAGTGGCCATATATATATACATATAAATATATATTTATGTATAAATAAAATCGAGGAGATTGTAAGGATAAGTCCAAGTTCGTGTATAAATTTAAGTTGTATCGATAGCGACGCAAATCGACTTAAACGAATAGGAGTAAAATTGTATAAAATAAATTCATAAGTGTGTGTTGGATCGTCGTGATTCGAGACAGTGCGTTCGATCATTATCGTTTCTTTGTTCGCCGTTCGTCAAATCAAACAAATGAATAGAAAACAAGTAAGTCGCGCTTACGAATTAATTAAGTTAATTATTACAGGGATCACAGACGACTAGAGGGTGTATTCGAATCGATACGAAATTTGTACGAAAGAGAAAACCGCGCCGTCTCGAACCCGTCCAAGTATACGTTTGGTATTAGCAACAAGAATGGGCAAACCGATTTAACTTTTATAACAAGTTCCTTGAACTTTTCACGACGCCCACACCGGTCAATTGCATTTCTTTTTCTCTTGTCTATTTTCGTTGAACGTCCTGTACAATTTATAAATGGGTAGTTTTGCCGGGTCAGAGGATCCTCGGAGAAGAAAACCAAGCAGTTTGCCCAATCTTGGATATTCGTATTTCAAGCTAATTGAATTAACTGGTGTGCCAAGACGAAGAGGATAAGCATTTTATAATAACGCTAGTACGTGATTCTTCAGTTACTGTAAAATAAGATACATGCGATTTTCCTATAATATGCAGACAAAAGAAGAAAAAAAAAAAGAAATAATGGGGGAGAAAAGAACTTCGTCTCAATTTATTGGGAAGAACCACGTGTTACATTCCTATTTTGTACTCATTTTTCTAGGTGAAAAGAATCAACTCATCATCAAGCTCGATCTTCGCTCGTCACCGACAATCCCATTAAGAAGCTCAAAGAAAATCGCTGCTTCAATCGCACGGAGAATGGCGACGATACTTCGAAGAGCGTACTTAAAAATAACGATGATAATAATAATATTAATAATAATGAACGTAAAGCTAAGATATACTAGAGCAATTTGTACTTGAAAATAGACGAAGATATGAGGCTTTTCAAAGTATCGATGCGTCCGAGTGAAACACTTTAGATGAAAAAAAAGAAAGAAAAAAAAATGCTTCGAGATTCGAGCTTTCGATGTCGGAAACAGCAATGAATACTTTGTAAGGACGGATATTTTAGGGGTGATCGAATGATTCGCATTTTTCTGCACTGATAATGTTAAGCTCAATATTATAGACAGGTTCGAATAATGAGCTCGCCAAGCTACAATATTTTTGTCTAAAGATAACACATTTCGCGACAGAGGATTCTCCTTGCGTGTATAAATTCAATTTTTTTTTTCTTTTCAAAGAGGAAGGAAAAAAATCTTGGATGACTCATATGAACTCACTTTTTTATGGAATTCTCAATGAGGAAGATATCTAGATCCATACATCCGAAGTACAAAGGTATTAATAGCAAAGGTCATACTTGAGGAATAAAGAGTCTTAAAGAGTCCATGCAAATCGATAAGAATGGATGCTTCGTTGTTAGAGTTTTCTTTTTCGTAAGATCCCAAAGATGAACGAAGTAAGAATTGAGTACTTAAATTCTATTTTTGGTTCCACCGTAAATTTTAACTCGTTGCAGATTTAAATAGGGAGAGTGCAACGTGTTAGAATCATGGATCATTATAGAGATTGAAATCCTTAATATTTCCGTGACCTAACATCTTTCTACTATGAATTTGAAAAAGAAAAAAAAGAAGAAAGGAACGGCTTATCTCATCGTTGTAATGATTCTATCTGAACCATTAGAAGAGAAAAAAAAAAATTCCACTTACGAATTACGGTTCCCGTGTGTCTGCTTAGTTTACGAAAAAAAAAAACAAAAAAAAACGAAGCTGTTTGTACGTTTCAGTGTTATATCGTGTAGGTGTAAGATATCGAAAATCGACAGAACGGAAGTGTATCGATTATTGTATGTGTACTTTAAACAGCGATGCTTACGATATTTAAATAGTTAATCGTCATGAATCGCGTAGAACTTCATGACATGCGATTATTACACACATTATACGTATGTGGGAGTCATACACACAAGAAAAATGGAAAAAATGAGGCGAAGTAGGTAAAACTAAAAGGAACTATATTTTGCCGTGCCAGACGAAAACA